GCCTTTTCATTTGAATTTTAATTTAAATTGCATTATCAATATATATTCAAACATTATCGTGTAAACCATAAAAATCTTATACTAATCATCCGTGAAAATATGAATATATAAATGCGAAGTGCGTGTAACGATTTAATAAATACTCCTTTCACAAGAATGCAAAACAACAGGCAATGTGCAATCCGCCCATCGAACTTTCACTCGCTCAATTAATCGCACGCTCTCCCACGAATAATCACATCTTTTTTCAAGATCGCTCGCAATCCACACGAAAAAACGGAAATTACGAGGCAAGGCCAAGTTTTCAGGTCAAGCATAGCTAAGTTTTTTGTCCCTTTTAATCCAAGCTCTACGATAAGGAGATTGCATCGAACGACCCATTATAAGTCACCGCTACGGCCGAGAGTGGCCTTTACTGCAGACGATTAAGGGGCAACTTCTTCGTTCCCCCATCGCGAATGCACATGTGTGCACGAAAATTGAATTAAATGTTCGCAACATATATCGTCGTGGTTAAAAATATTAAATTTGATCAACAAACTTGCAATCAAAACTTTTTAGTAGATTACGTTCGTTGAACAGTTTAATGTTGAAAAAAAGAAAAAGAGAATGATAAGAAAATGTATAATATTTTAATAATTTAATATTTTTTTATAATTTAATATTTTTATATTATATTTTTTCATATATATTATTTCTTATGTAATTGTGCATAATTACATAAGAAATGATCTTTCTAATAGAGGCATTATTATTGTCTCGTTTATATATCTGTTGATTTCTATCATTGATAATTGTTGACTTTTCTTTTTATCGCAGCCAAAAAATGTATCATTATTTATTTACTGCTTGAAAATAGGATATCGTATTTTACATAATTTTAAATATAATAATTTCAAATTTTGAGATCAAAACTATGTACTTTTTTATTTTAACTATTTGCACTTCAAAGTATTTTTGTTATTTCTTTGGTGAATATAAATAATTTCATTATAATCGGTCGCAGTGTCCATTAAATTGTCATTATATATATCAAGATTAAAGTCATCTTCATCAAAAAATTCAAAATCTTTAAATTATTTTTCTTTTTATATTTTTTAATTGCAGTACAAAATATGTATGTCGCCGTAGCGACGCCTATGGAATGCAAAGAATTAACAATAAAATTAAATTGAAATTTTTGAATATTATGCTAATATGTTGAAATATATTAAAAAATTTTACGCGAAACAAAGTATCTATAAACATAATAATATTCATAAAATTGCATAAAAAAAATATTGCAGAAAAAATAGATTAGTTTGACAGGTACATGTAGTCAGTCGTCGACCTTTGTTTCAAGATCGATACGACGCTCCCTACAGAATATATGTATGTCATGTGTTACATCACACAGATTGACTCCCTTAATTTTATCAATCAAATTGGCATTTTTGGTTCAATGTTTGCTGGAGACGGATACACATCGTGATAAAGTCGTACAATACTATGATGGAACGCTTGTCACCTTATTCATCCATTTATCTGTTCGTGCTCGTGACATTTCACAGCCAGCAAATTCATACTGGTTATCATGGTATGCAATTTGTACATTTAACTCGGTTTTATTTGTATTTTTATGGTATTATTTAATTTTTAACTTTTATAAATTTCTAAAAATTTTAATTAAATTTGCTTCAACTCTCTGTGGTGTTAATATAAATAAATATTAAAATTCAAAACTTATTCAAAAAAATTGTAACATGATTAATTGCTTCATTAAACTAAATCTTTTCCGTTCCTTTTTTCTCTTAAAACAGCAATATTAATCATATTTATACATTATTAATTTTTATAAAATTAAAAAAAAATTTCAGAAAAATATGCATATTGATATAAATTTTAAAATATAAAAAATTAAAAACACAAAAAAATATAGAAAAAATGTAAAGAATAACGAATAAAATGTAAATTATATAATATGTATAAATTGAGTTATTTTTATGTCTTACAAAAAAATTTTCATGTCAATATTTTTCCAGTATTTTTCCGTATCCTAATCAGCCTGTGCTATTTCGAGAAAGTCATTGCCATTTATCTAGAGCTTTCCTCTTGTCGAGCATAGCGCGCACGCGAAAGCTATTTTTCGCGGTTTCGCGAGCAGCAAAGAGAAGAGTAGCAGGTCGCGGTACGAGATGACCCATTGTACATCACATCTTTATGCAAACCTTCCTTGTCTGCATTGCGGTCGTAGCCACAGACATCGAAAACATGCTTTCTTTTCGTTACGAGCTCGATTTAAGAGGATTCTTCCAGATGCTGGAGCATGATAGCATGGCATCTTCTAAACTATCACTCTCTCATTTCACATCTTTTCAAAAAGAAACACTATTCTCAAAATATTTTATATATAAAATAGAAAAAATTTTATTGAAAAAAGCTTGTTTCATCAGCATATTAAATATTTTCGTAACTTTAACACAATTTAATAGATATATTAAGAATGTTTAAATGATATTTATTAAGTGGTTAATTGAATATTCAATTTTGTTAATTGATTGGCCAATAGTCTGAAATAGGATAAATAATTTTTAAGGTTAAATGCAATATGTGCAAATGACATTTCTCTATGATATAATACTGCAGGAAAACTGCTGCGCTTACTAGCATAAAATGATGATCTATTGTATGTACTTGCCATGTGGCTTCATCTTTCTCTTTATTTGTCTCCTTTTCTATCTTCTCTCTCTGTCCCTCTTTTCTCTCTCTGCCTTTTCAGTCTTATCGTGCTCTTCCGCAGCGTACAACGACGAAATTGATACCGAGAAACTTCACTGTCTGTAACATTTTCACCTATACGAGGAAGCTTCTTCCTGTATCCTTACAACTATGTCCGGAAAGACAAAAATGAAAAAATTATAACTTTGAAAATATTTCCGACTTTGTCACAATATCGACGTTCTTTTATGATTATAATTAATAGAATTTTATTTGATTTCTTTGATGCCAATATGCATTTTTTATAAATTTACTTTTTTAAATAATATTTTTTTCAAATTTGCAGAATGGAGAATTCACTCTGCATATTTTTCATCAATTTTAAAATATGATGTATGTACAAATCAATTGTGTGTGAGTATGCAATAATTGATCAATTGCTACTTAATTGTATGTTCATTAATCGAAGCGTGTATAGAGAGAAAAAGCTAAAATTTGAAAAAATATTTCGTAATATTATGGAGTAGTATTACACAACGTTGAAGATTAAATAATGGGAATAGCGAAATATCATCAGTATTGTATTTGATTATGTATGTGATTATTATTTAGAAATGTTTTCTGATTTATTAAATTTCTACGCAAATTTCTCGTACAAATAGAAATTCGTATAATATTGTAATAAAATAAAATGTATAATGCGCACTATTGATAAAAGGTATGTTTTCAAATTCGAGTATATATATATATATATATATATATATATATATATGTGTGTGTGTGTGTGTGTGTGTGTGTATGTATGTATGTATATATATATGCAATAAATTCCATCATAGAATAAAAAAATAAAAAAATTCAATCACAGAATATATAAAATATATAAACATATATATAAAATATACAAAATATATAAAAAAATTAATAAAACTGTAATAAAAACAAATATTAAATATGGCAATAACGATATTAGCATTAAGTTTACTTTTAATTAATTTAATATTAAAAGAACTATTTATTATTAATCATTATTCTGTGATTTTTGTTGTATACTTGTATAAAACTTGTATAAAACTTCATAAATTTCAATTATTATTAATGATTATATCTGATTACACATTATTCCATATAAATAATCTTATATATTTTTTAATTTATCAAATATAATGTAAAATATATTTTGTATAATTAAAGAATGCCAATATCATCAATAATCACAATTAAATCTTTTTTTAAGGTCGTTACACACGTGCTACTAATTTACCAGATGAATACGAACTAGTAATACCACGAAAGGTCAGATCGGATGGAAGTTTTGTATCTTATCAGATACCTCATCATTTTGAGCGTTCGTTTTATCGAAATCAAACGATGCCCGACATCGTTCACTATCGTTTACATATTGGTCAGGAAGAGCATCACATCGAGCTGTATCCAAATTATCGACTCCTTGGACCAGATGCGATAGTCGAGGAACGTCGAGAATCGCAGGATTTTTTAAATAATATGCGATTGAAGCGATTACGAGGCACGCAATGCCACTATCGAGCCCATGTGCGCAACCAATTGGAAAATAGCGCTCTATCCACTTGTTATGGACTCGTTAGTTGAATATCTCAATTTTTTCAATTGATTATAAAGTATTTTTATTGTATGACGCATTTTATAAACGCAATAAAGTATTTTTATTGCGTTTATAAAATGCCAGGTTTAATTGATTAAATTCTATTAGTATTTTTATTGTTATATAAAGTGCAGGCAAAAGTGGCAGAAAGCAATGAAAATTTTTAACTTTTGATATAAATAATCTGTGATTTTTGAACAATTCATGATTCCATTATTTTAATCTTCAGGTTGGATATATCAGAACGAAACATGCGTGGTACATGATCGAGCCAGTTGCAGGACATGATTTTACTAAAGAAATAGAACAACCGCATATTGTGTATAAAAGGAGTCCAGATGACTTTCAGACTGCTACTATGCAGGATCTCTGCAACGTTATTAGCAATACATCCAGGATCATTGCTAAACGTGCTTTAAATTTGCAGAAAAAGCCGCTCACAAAATCGAACGAGACCAAGTCATACACGCTAGAATTGCTGATCGTATTGGACAAATCTTTATTAGATTATTATAGAAAAATGTCGTTTGATGTCGAAAATTATATACTGACGCTCTTCAACATGGCGAGTTTAAAAAACTTTCAAAATTTTTTAAAAGTTGATTTACAACAAAGATTTTAAGAAATTTTATTTTCTCAGGCTGCAGGATTATTTCATGACGTTAGTTTAGGTGTACACATGCAATTGACTATAGTAAGAATTATAAGATTAGAAGTGGAAGAAAATGAGGTAAAGTAATCAACGGAAATTTTTTTCTATCCCCAATGAAATTTTCTTTGTTATATAATTTCTTTTTATATGCTTATATAAATAAAAAATATTTAGAGTTTCATAATTTGATTTTTGTGATTAACGAATTTAATATTTTGTTAAATATGTTACAGATGAATTTATCGGTGAATCAAGACGCGGACGCGACGTTGAAGCATTTCCAAGAGTGGCAATACACCATGAATCCTGGCGACGATTCTCACCCAAATCACCACGATTGTGCGATTCTCATTAGCAAGTATGCGCAGCACAGACAATCCTGTCAGAAATTCAATCTAATTTCAAGATTTACTGATATTCATCCTTCTGACGATGACTTGCCAGGTTAGATATCTGTCTCTCGAAGAACCTCTGCGGTTTCACCGGAACATCCACGATTGCTGGTACGTGTGAGCCTTTGAGAGGCGCGGCCGTTGTCAGAGATGCTGGTCTGCTAACCGGTTATCATATAGCTCATCAGATCGGCCACACGTAAGCGTGTAATTAATTTCATCCGCTCCGACCTCATTAGATGCGGTGGGGAAAAGTTCAAGTAATTACACTACATCGTAAAAACATTGTAAAAGCATTTCTGCAATATATGTACTATTTTCATTCTCGTATGAAATATTATATTAAACAATCATATTAATTTTATAATGTTAACCTGATATATTATACGCGCGATATAATGTACGCGTGTGTATGTAACATTAGCGCGGCAGTTTCCGTTTTCATTATAACGGATGTTTCATATACCTTCATTTCGACCGAGGGAATATTCTAAAGCGGATATCGTTCTGATAGTCGTTCCCCTCCGGTTAGTTACGCCATTGACTGCTCCCTTTTTGCAGCCGGTCATGAGAAAAAAAATTCGAAATAAATTCCTAAAGACCATTTCTTTGCCCGAGAGTGGAAATAATGGTATGCCGTGGCGTCGTCGTAAATAAGTCACGGTCGAGGTCGTTGTTTAATGTATGAAGCGGCTCCTTGTCGTCGTGTACCCCAGAATGCCTTTTAAGAGCGAGTCCGCGCGTGCCCCAATAAATATTCTACTCCGAAAAGCCGATTTTCTTTTTCTCATTACCAGCCTGGGTATGTCCCACGATGTGCAGCGGGAGAACGGTTGCCCCGGTATAGTTTATCACAGCAACGGATATGTGGAGACCACCGTTATGCATCCCGGCGACATGTACATCACGAAAAAATGGTCCGAGTGCTCTCGGCACTACCTGCGCTCGTACATCGAGTAAGCTTAATGCTTGTTGCTTTTTCGCTGGCGGCTTTATTAAAGTTCATCGACAACAAAGCTGCTTTCCTCATCTCCTCCGCGTGTATTATGTAGGAATGAAAAAGTATAAAATGTCACATCTATGACTATAAATTTCAAATTAAATTAACAGAGCCTCAGTTATTGTCTTCCTAAAGTAGAGCTTGGTAACACGATGATGATATGAAAAGATGAAAAAACGTAAATTGAGAAAATTATACATACATATATTTCATAGAAATTATTCTTTAATCTTCAGACTTAATTACCAAGTCTACTTTTAAAACATTAAAATGTTTTAAAAAGGGAATTAATAAATGGAATTTTGATTCTTTAAGGAAATAAAGACTGAAATCGCTTTAGCAGATGAGGAATTGTCAACTTGACATTGATGTATAACGTACGAATTCAAATGATAAGCATTTAGAATAGTCATTGATTTCAGGCAAGGTTTGGCATTCTGCTTAGAAGATGAGCCGCAAGATCATCATTTTCCCGCCGCGGAAATGTTGCCAGGTGTAATGTATAATGGTGACGATCAATGCCGTTTACAATATCGATCAGACGCTCGACAATGTGATATGGGAATCGTAAGTCAAGTAGACGAAGAACGTAACCTCGTTAAAAAGTAACATCACGTCTCACTGTTGAGGATAAAAATGTTAAGCGTAATTAAATCGTTAATGAATTCGATAACGCTTATGTTATCGTATCAATGATTTGCGGATGCACGTCGCCCGTAAAGAGGCACCATCTGCTGTTCGCATCTACAAGTCTTTGCCTTTGCGGCCTACCTTATCCGTTTAGGAAAATATGCGCGCCGATTGCACACGGCGTTAGATAAGAGACCGGAGGAATCGCGATATCGCGCCGAGATATCGCGATCGGCACGCATTTAATTAAAGCGAAACGATCTCGTTCTCGTTTTCAGACTTGCGAAACCCTCAGGTGCGCTATTCCGGGTAGAGGTTGCGTGTCTAGCAGGAAACCACCTGCGGAGGGCACCTTGTGCGGTGAGAAAAGGGTAAAAATTATCACTTACGAATAAAAAGAGGATATAAAGTAAGGCACAAATAACACTCCGGTATCGCGAGAATTGTGATAAAACGAAAAAGTAATAATTCATCAGGCTTATAAGGGCCTATTTCATGATAAAAATTGCCTTTTCAATTTTTTCTTTCTTTTCTTTACTTAAATCCTATTTATTAATTTAATTCTTTTATCAATACATAGTTTTTTCAATAGATTGCTTGTCAGAGGATTCATTTTAGAATATGATTAATGAACAAGTTCTTGTGTTTACTTCCAAGAGATTTAAAAGCATATCAAAGCACAGATTCAGAAAAAGAAGAATTATATATTAATAAGTTCAGATTCCTCGAAAATTTTATACCGAAAAATTATAATCGAAAAAGTTTATATCTCATGAAAAATATAAAATGAGAATAAACAAACTAAAAAAAGTCTATCTGAATCTATTATCGATCATAAATAATTAAATTGTGCAGCCTTTTAGAATTAAAACTAGTCTTAGTCTTTAGTTAAGTTTTATTTGCCCTTAAAACAATACAAAGGCAATGTTGAAAGTTACAAATTTTCACTAACAATAAGATATTCGCTTAAAATACATTCAAAGTGTATTAAGTTATAAGATTGCGTATAAATGCGTACTGTAAACTTTTTCATTATAATGTTTTGCAAAAAATAAGTAAACTTTATGCAGCTGTGTTCTGCATGTAGTTTTCCTGTGTAATGAATAGAAAAATATTATATAACATTAATATACATCTCGAAAAATTTGTTTGAAACTCTAAATGGCAATTAAATGGCAGAATATAGATATAATTAGTGCGTAAATTATTTATATAAAAATCGACAACACATTTGTTGAAAGAATATACGAAACAAAATATACGTGGAGAACTTGGCATTTTATTTTTCATAAAAATTTACGCATCGCCAACTAAAACTCGTTTTAAGTCACGTCACGGATATTTCGGAAATCAAAACAAGGCAAGTCGAGTGAAATATTTTTTGCGACTGGCTAAAGATTTTGCGCGACTACGTGATACCATAAAAGGGATTTTATCGAAGCCGCCGCGAATAAAATATAGATGCGCGTGAAATCATGATGATGAGGCGATAAACGGTGTCCAAATAACAGACATCAACAAGATATTAAATTGGATGACAATATTAATAGTCGGGCGTGTCGAAGCGTCAAACCTTGCAGACAGGAGTCATTAGCGCCGGTCGACTGTCGTTTCGAGATGTCGGTGAGGTCGAGCATTACTATTGAGAAATAAAGCTTGTCATAAATTTGGTCTGCGAGTAATCTCTAATTACTTCGCGTAAACCTTTCGAATAAAATCAAATGATCGACACGCACGCATCGTAAATCGACTCAGCACGCAAAACAAGCGATATAACTCTTATTTCCATTACAGATCTTACAATTATGCAAAATAAATAGATTAATCGCGCAAAGATATTTAATTTCGGAAATGAATATTTTAAATAAATATATAAATTTAAACATATGGTAAACATATCGATTAAATAAACTATTAATTTAAATGATAAAATATGTTTGACGAGACAAGACATACATGTAACTCTTTAAAGTATAATCTAGAAAAAAAGATACTTGATATTTTATTTAAAAGAGACACTTGATATATTTCATTTAAATGATTCTACGTAAAAAACAAATTTCCATCCGATGAAATTTAGTGAAAATTGGACGAAGCGTAGGAGATTGCAAAGTTTAAAAAAATTGAAATCGAAGTGATAACATTGGCTACAAAAATAAATTGATCTACCTACATACGTAAAATTTCAGTTTGTTTGTACGTCTCTTTCACAACAGCCGATGCAATCATCGTGGAATGAAATAGACAAATAGATGCACAAATGTAGTTCGTGAAGCGAAGAACAATTATCTTGTCGTCGGTCAACGGTAGATTCGATGCGTTAGCATGTTATCGTGATATCAAGCTCATACTTTAATGCGAACGTTTTAAAGGGAAAAGCGAGGTAGTTAAATTCAAGTAGTTATTTCAATGAAACGAGAAATTATTCTCGAGAATTCGTGTAGAGCAATAAAAGAGAGAGAAAGAGAAAGAAAAAAATTAAAATACGTTGCATGAAGAATATGAATTTCAGCATTTCCCTAAACATATACATATTAACATATAAACGTTGAATTATTTACATTCGCATATCAATATTACCATTTCAAGCAGGCAGAATTGCGTATATTATTTACAAATTGTCATTATTCACATCGAATAATTCAGTAACTCAAGAACCAAAAATACGTACAATAATTATTATTTTTAAATTGCAAAATTGTTATATTACGATACGGAAACATGAAAATATTTATTATACCCGATAGATTTAAACAATTTTAAGTATACTTAAAACATGCAAAAATTGTAAAAGGACTCAATTATTACTCGGAGAATAATATTAGTGATTCTAATGGAACGAGACGGAGGTCTCGAAGAATATCTCTCGCACGGCATAATAAATTTTCACGTCGTGCTTTTAAAAGACGTACATTATTTAGTTCGTGCATAATACACTCCTCCGTGCCCGTTCTCCATGACGTAAGTTACTTCTAGTGCCGCGGCTAATGACTGTTATAGTGGTGTTACCGAATGAAATGTCTGATGGTGGGAGAACGGCCTGAAGTAAGAGACGGCGGTTGGGGTGCCTGGTCCTCCTGGAGCAAGTGTTCTCGTACCTGCGGCTCCGGTGTGGCATACGCCGTAAGAAAATGCAACCACCCGTCCCCATCCAAAGGCGGCTCTTATTGCGTCGGCGACAGGAAACGTCACAAAATCTGCGCCACGAACGTTAGTCTCGAGAGTGCGCGCAAATAGCTTTTCAGCAAACATATAAATTATTCCGTCGTATGTGATAATCATATCTTTCACGTGATTTTCACTGAAATGAAAAATGTTAGCCTTAATAAAGAACTTGAAAGCGTGATGAATGATAATGTTCACGTTAAAATAAAGAAAAGTATCGCACTATTATTCTTTAATAAAAAAAGCTGAATAAAAAGCTTCAAATAAAGCTGTCAAAAAGAGAGCATTTTTAATGCTTAAAGCGATATTAATATTGAATAATTCTTTGTAGCCCTGTGAAATCGGCGCGCCATCGTTTCGTGACGTGCAATGCGCCGAATTCAACGATTGGATATTTCCGGAGGATGGGAAAGTTCATCAATGGATAGCATATAATCTACCAGAAAGTAAGATCATAAGTAATTTTTTTTCAACTTTCTGTCAACTTTACAAATTATCTTTTATATTTAGACTTGAAGATGTCTGAAAATCCGTGTGCTCTTTATTGCATGAGCGAAATCAACTTGGTGACCTCGCTGAGACCGAAAGTTATAGACGGTACCACGTGCTACAGAGGCATTCGAGACATTTGTATTGGGGGTGTGTGCAGGGAGATACCCTGTGATCTACATATGGAATCAACCGCCGTCGAAGACGTTTGCGGAGTTTGTCGAGGCGACAGCACATCGTGCACGTTAAAGCAAGGAACGTTATCGTTTATGGCTCAATCACGTAAGACAAGTCGTAATACTAGAACTGATAATATTACTATATGTTTTGTCAGAATAAATAATACTCAATTATACAAGCATAAAATATGCGTTACTAAACAACAAATATACACGAAGATTTGATTTCGTTTAGTTTTACATATTAAAATTTTTCTCTCTGCAAGAAGCTTCTTTAAAAAAGTTTCGCCTTTCGAATCTCAAAGAGATTTTTTTTCTGAATTATTGAAACATTTGTATAATATTTAAAAAATTTCAATGATGTTGAATTTTATATCAATACTTTTCAACGGAGATTTCCGCGCGAATATTTTTCCTCTATTGCATTTTTTAAAAATAATTTTTTTAATAATTTTCTTAGTAACTTTCTTTCCCTTTTTCTCTCTCCTTTCGTGCTCGCCCGTTTTCTTTTTTTATTTCATTTGGAATTTCGCGACTTGACAAAAATACCGATAAACTTCACGTCATCGGCACAGCACGGCAAATAGAGAAGTACGGGGAATGGAAACTCTTTCGTGAATTAAAATTCCCAGAGAAGCATAAGGCGCGCGTTCAGTCTTCTCTCCCAGAGGAATTCTGAGCGGCGCTTTGAGTACCGCGACAGCCAAATAAATCTTTCCGTACTGCATGGCAAAGCGACACTGCACCGAAATTGGAATCTTGACGAATAATACTGCGAAGTAGCTTTTCGCAATAATCTCTCGAGTGCGAACTTTCGCGTTAAGGACTCAAGAAGATAACGGACATACCAACCGGCGCTAGAAATATCCGCGTCGAGGAGGCGGAACCGACAAAGTCTAAGATCCTGGTGCGCACTAAAAGCACGAAAACCGTGTTAATTGACGGGTAACTAATTTTTTTTCTACATTTTACTAATATTTATTTCTGTAATATTTTGAGAAAAATGATGCTAGTTATCTTCATATAAGATTTCAAACGTTTCGAACATGTAGTTTGATGTTATTTTTCAATTTGTTTTCCGATCACAAGAATAACTACTCAATTAATTTATTCAATTAACGCCACGACGTAATTATTTCAGTAATCGCCTAGGAATGTTCGATGTACCAGGCTCTAAGGCGTGGCTAGGAATGATAAGACCAAGGCAAGAAGCTTTAAACATACCAGGACCCGTCACCGAGGACTTGGTTATATTGGTATACATAATGAATGTATTCCGTTAATTAGTCATTTTTCTCAGCAAATTGATAACATATCTCAGACAGAGTGTTTGAACATGAATATAACCTATCAGCAAGAACGAGCAAAGAGAAATGCAGCTTCTAAGAACATTTATAATCATTATATAGCTATAGCAATCAACTGTTAATTTTCTTTATGCGAATTTCGATTCTTTTCTAATATAATTTTTTTACTTATTTTTTCTCAATGCAACAAATAATAAAATTTACAATATTTTAAGAAATGACTAAGGATAAATTTTATTTCCGAAAACGTGATGTATTTCTCTTCAAGGAGTAACAACTAAATTATTTTAAAAACTACATTAAAAAGAAATATAGTTTTTATCCTTTTCAATATCTTCTTAACAGCCATTAAATATTTGACAGGTTTTTCCAAAGGAGAATGTCACGTTGAAATACTCCTTAGGTTTGAAACAACAAACTCCTCGCAAAGCCGAGTTCTCTTGGGATTTCATCGACTGGGAAAAATGTTCGGCAGGTTGCGGCCCGGGGGAGCAGGTATCAAAACCCCGTTGCGTAGAAAAAATCGGTGGACTAGTAGATAATAAATTTTGCAGAAACATCACTAAACCAGATGCAAAAGTTAGATCATGCAACCAAGCTCCCTGCATACCGCGGTGAGTCTATATCTTTACGACTTTCTTCACGTTTAAAATAATTAATAAACATATATATTTAATTAATTAACATATATATTTAATTATCATATATTTATTATATATTTATTAATAATTATCATATATTTAATTATTTAAAAAACATTATCTACAATTCTTTTAACTTCTTCATACGTAGTAAAGAAGCGAAATGTCAGTTACGTGTCGAAAGAGTTACACGTATGCTTCTTATGTAGATAGTAATAACGTTTACATACATGCATCGCCCTTATATCATCATCATATTTCATTGATCATATCATGTCCACACGTTGGACAGAATAGTCACTTTAATCTAGAGAAACTAACGAATGGACATGACACTATGCGATAATTGCTCCGCCGTCTCGGACTAATTAAGATCTTGCTCTTATCGTCACGATCCAGGTGGATCATTGGCGACTGGCAAGGTTGCACGCCATGCACGCCAGGCTGCGAGAGAAGGCGCGCTGTCAAATGTATGCGACCCGTCGGCCGTGGCGAGCAGGATGCCGACGTGATCGAGGACAGCTATTGCCAAGGACCAAAGCCGAGGGAGTCGGAATCTTGCGAAGCCAGCCGACGAAGACGAGAAGACAGAAGTGCCGCCAACGGCAAATATGAGCTCTCTTCCGCTCGCTCGAGCACGCTAACGCGACAAAACGGCTTCATTAAAGCCGCTCGAGAACCTGCTAAGACACCTTTAAGCGGCGTCATAGAAGACCGACATTTGAATGATTTGTCTGTGTCGATAAGACGGACTGGGAAGCCGACCAATCTCTCTTGTTTGATCGGCACCGGATATGTTAATGCACTTGCGAGTAAGACGACGAATTTAATTCCACTAGACCATTCGACTCGAAATTCGACTAAGACGTATCAAGATCGCTCTCAAATTGATAAAAGATCAAAGAATATATTGAACCGTAAGAAGGAACAAATTAATGTAAGTAAGATCAAGAAGAACGAGGTAGTGATCGATAAAGAGGACATACAGAACCTGACGCTCACTATTATTTTGGAACGCGATGAGAAGAATGTTATCACGAATTTTCCAAAGAATTTTAAACCTTATCCGCCGGAAAATAGCACGGAGTTTACTTTGGTTGGTATGGATGCCCTCAGATACATACAAGGAATTCAGGAAGAAGCTCATGCGTTTTTCTGAATCTCTATCTTTTGCGTAAAGGACATATGCGATAAACTGAATCAATGATCGAAGAAAAAAATTCGTATTTTCCGAAGTAAAAGAGAGAAGAATATATTTATTGCGAGACGTTCATGTGTGAATGTCATTTACTCTTCGCTTCTTCAAAATGGCGTCTTCGGTAAAAGCAGACAGAAAACGTGCGTTTAGCAAAGATGAATTTGTGTCGATTCAAACGATGGTTATGTGATCCATCAAAGAGACTTTTACGAGTCATTGAATAAAATCACGGCATCAGCGTGTTGCTTTTCAGAGCGAGACATGCGCACGCGGAGATTGCCGATACTCGAAGCGATAAAAACAATCGTTACGTTATACGACCGAATTATGCTTATGGCGTGTGCTTTTATATAGGCCTATCGGATTTTAACGATCACAATCTCAGCCTACGCTGAATGACGATTGTAAAGAGTCGCAAGATGAATCGTTCGATTAAATCGGCGACGTTGTTTAAGTCCGGCTAACACGACCATAATTGACGGTAAAGCGGCAATAGAACTGCTAGAATCTAAAGATAATCTCTCAATATGCGGCGATATACGCGACGAAGATGACGGGCGATATAAATTATATACCTGAACGACGCCAGGAGGAAACCTTCCCGCGACCCACTAACCAGTCTCGCCATTGAGCATTGATCTTTCAGATTCATCGTTTATGTTATTTATGACGGAAACGATACTTCGTAATGCTTCGAGATTGCAAACATTCTTCCCTCTTAATAGCCCGTATTCTGGTGATATCATGAGAAAATGTCTGGTGTACGACATTTTCTTGTACTAATAAAGATTAAGTGGCGAAAAAAACGCGCAAATCATTTATTTTTTTGTACTTGTTCCACACACATCTCGTAATATAAATATCTGTCTGTCCGTCTGATCGATTATCTGATCATATATCGTTTATTGTTAATAATATCTTGTGTTCGTCACGCTTTTCATATTATATTTTTTTATTTGATTTGACGGCCTTCGTACAATCATGCTAATCAATCATATTGCGATGACGTGAATCAGCAAAGAGTAAGTTTTGTAATAAAGTATACTCGGATGTTCAAAGTCCTAATGTAATCTGCTTAATACATACGTATTTATATATTTCTGAAACTTATACATATATGATAATTATATACGAAAGTAACACGAGTTTAGTACGTGAATGTTTCATTTTTTATTCTATTTAACGTTTCTTTTCCAACGCGGTATCTACTGATTGATTAAGATCTTCAGTCTTTGTAGTAGAAGTGGTACGAGGATTTATTGTCAGATTATGATGAACTAACTGTTCGATAAGTTTGACCGCCTGTGAACCTTTGTAAACCTTCTGCTGACTCGTGTCAATACCAACGCCGACGAGATCGCCGGCTTCCTGGAACGCCTTGTCAGACAGATTAGACTGAAGGGACTCGTCCATGTAAGGCGCCTGTAGCAATATAACCTTCTCGATAGGTATCGAATCAACGATGATGGATCCTGGCTTCGGCGTGGTGAATTTCTCCTCCGTCTCGCAGGTGCGCTTACGCTTGTCCTCGTTCGTCATCGCCCAGTCGTAAAGAAGCTGTCGAAAGTTCCGAGCGGCGCCCGTCTCTTCGAGCTTGTCATCATCATGCAACTTGTCACTCTTTTCCAAGTAATGGGCCAGACCGACATCGACGAATCTGTCAATCATTCTACGTTGATCATCCGGTGACAAGTTTACTTTTTCCTCCATATTTATGAGCTCATGTTCATCAGATTGTCGAGTTTTCTTGGGACACATCGTTCTGCAGGGTCTTGTACCTGGTGTATATTTTCAAAACCCAATCTCCGGAAATTTTGAATTTCTATCGCGAATCATATCTATACGTTTCAAATATATCTCGAACGTGAAAAATCACATTTGTATACCTATGCACTCTTCTTTCTGCCTCGGCACGCGACCTTTGCACGCGTCTAAATTTGCCTGCACATCGTCCTCTCCAGGTCGAGCACCAGGTCTTACACATTGAACCTTGCGACGTCTCATACCCTTCTTCCCATCACAGGCGTTACATTTACTCCATTGACTCACTCGCCATCTATATAATCGATCAGCGATAAATAAGAATTTATTTGCTTTATATCAGATTTGTCAAGCGAATAATAATGTGTGCAAATCGCTAAATTGATTGTTTATGCGATACTGAGTTAACATTTTATTTATTGGCACACACATGCGGGCATAGATGTGCGATACTACATCATCGCATTAAAAAAAAAGAATTAAAGCGAGGCTTAAAACGAAAGTCAATGATATCGAGTAATTTTTATTGCAATGTACTCGCTATTTGAGACGTTGAGCAAAGAAAATATTATATACACACATACATACGTATTATTTTTATATATGTATTACTTTTTTTAATATAATTTCAAACATAAAGTCTCTCTTTGCTTTAGGTATAACTTGAATCTATTTATATTTTACAGATCACTATATTAATCAACTGTTGCGCATCATATTGGTGAGTATTGAATCAATTTATATATACAGGATGTTTCGTGAGGAAATCGATAAACTTTAGAATGTATTCTACAGTTCATTCTAAGCGAAAGAATTCATATACACTATAGTTCATATAAATTATTAATTCGATTAAAAGATTAAAATATAAAGAATTTAATTTTTGTTAGTAACGCTGATCCTCTGTCAAGGTCTGTGTATAATCCCTGTGCATAATCTCCTGACTTATCATCTCTAGATTTCCTTTTGTGGAATTATTTGAACACTCATGTAAACAATGACGGTAAACCAGAGATTCGTCAACAGTTAGTTAACAGAGTAACAGATGAGACCACAGATAGTATTAAGCTTAACCAAATTAATTAATGACAATTTATGGTACAACAGTAGCATGTTTTAAAACAAAAAGTGGACATTTTAATTAATATGATTAAGAAAATATAATTTATATAATACAAATATAAATGTCTAATATTTTTTATCTGTTATAATATTTATAAAATTGTCTATATCAAATTATTAATGAGTCTTCGATGTCCTCATAGATATATACGAGACTTCAAACAACCTCACAAAAAAATGTTTAGAAATGATAAGTCAGAAAAAAAGAACAGACAGGGGATTAGCATTACTGACAAAAATAAAATTCTTTATATCTCGATAACTGAACCGAATCTACTATATTAATTTTTTTGTTTGGAATGAACTTTAGAATTCTGGAAATTTGTCAGTCTTTGAATAAACTTTAGAATTTTGGAAATTTGTCAATTTCTCGCTGAACATTCTGTATATACTTATATGTATGTATCCTATATGTAAAATTTAAAAAAATTTATTTTCTTATATAAATATATTTGAAGTATATTTTATTATCTTATTAACTTAAATGCTGCTTCGCTTAGCGAATTATTTTGTCAAGTTAAATGTCGAATTGTTTTATCAAGTTAAATGATAAAGTGCAGTTTGATCGATACTTTGACGTTAAATTTAATGTCTGGAACTTGTGACTTACTTTGCGGGACAAGGAGTTTGATTGCAAATGCGACTTTTTGCTTCCGGACGCAGTATACCATCACAGAAGTTGGGCGTTACTCGTCCGCCTTGCTCTTCGATGCAGGATGGTTCAGATATCTATGCAAATCAATAACATATACGTCACATAAAAGCAGTCGCATTTGCGGCCGCATCAAGCGCGTGCATTTAATGTTGTCACATTAATTACCATCGTACCACCGTCGCATTTAGCACTGCATTCTGACCACTCGACGAAATCCCACATATATTTAGGTTTGTACGACACATTCATCGATCTCACATAATATTTATAATCTATACCGGGATTGTCTTGAGGATTGAAGAACGCATACTAAAAGATTTGCAGCCATTGGATAAATAAAAATGTATAAACATTTACTATTTTTTAACAATTATGTGATATATATAATAAAAATTGTTATTAAATAATTATTGTGATCACGAAAATATATTTTCTGATCTATATATTATTTGAACAATAACTATATGTTTCATCATTTCACGTATCGAGAAAGAAAAAAAATAAAATAAGATATTTATAAAATTTTTGGCAGTCGATAAATATTTTGGGATATATAAATTTATAATAGAAACACGATATACTAACAGCATTAAATATATTAGTATTTGATTTTGACACGATTAGACATACAAAACCGATAATTATAACATATATGATATTGAGATATTTGTTAAAAAATAAACTTATCATACTTGTATCTCAATATCTTCGGATATTGGACCTTTCATTTCTACTACTTCTTTGTCCGGCTCCGGATGCGTGTAAATAATCATCGTTCCAGCACATTCGTAATCTCCGCTTTTAAACTCGCGGCTACATGAACGACGGCGTCATAAAAATATGTAATATATATAAAAAATATACATATATAAAATGCAGTAAACATACGTTTAGCATCATTGCAAAATGTATCTGTGTATCAATTTCCCAGACATTTATCTCTGTGTATATATATATGTGTATGTGTACTATAAACTCTATAAATTAAGAAGTGAATAGAAAAAAAGAAAAGAAGAAACAACTCTCTCGCACGAAAAGTTTGCAAAAGCTCACTTGTCTCCATTGATGCAATATGTTTTATCCTTTTCGAGTTTCACGGCCAGTATATTCACGCTAGGTTTTCTCTCGGAAACTTGTATACTGCGAGCTCCCTTCGGTATTGTTACGATCTTAGTATACGCTGCAAAGAGAGACATACGATGTATCGTAAAAAAGAAAGTGAAACAATTTCGAACGGAAAGTGTCCCGCGCAATCTAAAAATTTACCGCTTTGTGACACTGTTTCAATGAATTCGCCCTCGACCTGACTGCACGTCGTTCCATCACCTTTACATACACCGCATTTATCCTCAATCGCGTCCGAGTCTATCATCCAATCGCATCCGACTTTCTGCAATGCGAAAAATTTATTACAAATATTTAACACGCCAAGAAAATGTCATATCATGCTGTTTGATAAGAATTAAAATAATCTATTCTCTCTAAAGAGATATTTATAAAAAATATTATTTTATATAAAAAATAATATTTGATTTATACATTTTATTCGTAATATTATTTCTTTTTGATATCAAGGATTTGATTATTTGAGTCTACTGTGATATATTGTAGGTAGTTCTAGCGAATTTATATTGTTAATTAAAATGATAGATTACAGTAGCCATGAACAAAACAATTATAAGCGCATGTGTAATAAATATCAAGAGGTTTATCACTAAATTTAATTGCTGGAATGGAATGCTGGAACAACGCAAAGATTATCATAGAAGTATTTAACATGCTATTAGTTATCGTGAGTACATTGTTAGTTTGATTGATGCATACATATTTATGCTTTGTATTGCAAACATTCGGAAATAATTCCTGTTACGCAAGAATTTCAAATTTATGGGGATATTTTTATAAAATCGGAAGATTTAAAGACATAGAAAAAAATCATGAATATTTATGAAATTATTTTAAGAGCTTAAAAAACAGTTTTAATTCAAAATATTTATATATATATATATATATATATATATATATATAAATATAAAATATTTATATATTTATAAATATTTATATAAAATTGCAAAAAACATAGAAAAAAGAATTGAGAGACTTTGACATTTTTAGCTGAAGAATTGTATCGGATCAGCTCGACAATTTCAGCGCTTTCGCGCTGAAGATTTCTCGGCCGAATGACTCCGAAAAGTTACGATTTCACACCCTGCACGTTCCGGAGATGCACATATAATTGGTCCCAGCTTTGCAGGGTGTCGAATCGTTTGCCGTTGGCGAGATCTTCACGAATGTGTTCTTCTCATTGATGCAGTAGAGCGCGCAGGGTT